AGGATCCAGACTGCAGCCCAGGACGGAGCCGGCCTTCTTCACCAGCTTGTTGAGACTCTTCCTCTCGGCTGCCGTGATGCTGCTGCTCCAGCAGACCACACCATAAAAAATGGCTGACGCCACCACAGAGTCGTAAAAGGTCCTTAGGAGGCCTTTCTGTACACCGAAGGACCTCAGTCTGCGTAGCAGGTGGAGTCTGCTCTGACCCTTTTTGAACAGAGCCCGAGTGTTAACAGTCCAGTCCAGGTTTTTGTTCAGATGAACACCCAGGTACTTGTAGGAGTCCACTATCTCAATGTCCATTCCCTGGATGTTCACTGGAGAGTGAGGGGTGATTTTGTGCTGGCGAAAGTCAACCACCAGCTCCTTGGTTTTTCCGGCATTAATCCGGAGGCAGTTTTGCCGGCACCAGGCCACAAAGTTCTGGTTTAGTTCTCGGTACTCCTTCTCGTCTCCGTTGTTGATGAGACCGATAATGGCAGAGTCATCCGAGAACTTTTGCAGGTGGCAGTTTGATGTGTAGTGGGTGAAGTCAGCTGTGTAGATGGAGAACAGGAGAGGAGCCAGAACAGTCCCTTGAAGCGCCCCTGTGTTGCAGATCACCGTCTCAGACACACAGCCTTGTGCCCTCACAAACTGTGGCCTGTTGGTGAGGAAGTCCAGGAGCCATGATGTCAGCTGGTGGCACACTCCTGTGTGCTCCAGTTTGTCCCCCAGGAGTTCTGGTTGGATGGTGTTGAAAGCACTGGAGAAGTCATAGAACATGATTCTCACAGTGCTTCCAGGCCTCTCCAGGTGAGACAGGGATCGCTGTGTGAGGAAGATGACGGCGTCCTCAACCCCGATGCTCGGCTGGTAGGCAAACTGCAGTGGGTCTGCCGATGAGCTCACCAGGGTCGCAGGTGGTGGAGGACCAGCCTCTCCAGGATCTTTGCCAGGTGGGATGTCAGGGCCACCGGTCGATAGTGATTGAAGTCACTGGTCCGAGATGACTTGGGCACCGGTACCACGCAGGATGTCTTCCACAGCAGTGGCACCTTCTGCAGCTTCAGGCTCATGTTGGACTAGAGGAGCCTTGAGCTGATGCCATCTGGGCCTGTTGCCTTCTTGACCTTCAGCTGGGACAATTCTCTCTCTACCTGTGCTGTAGAGAGAGGGGTGGTGAGTGGGCTGGGGGGTTGTGGAGGAGCAGCAGGGAGGGGGGTTGGGGTGTGAGGCCTTTGGGCAGCCGTTGTTCCAGTCGGGGGAGGAGATTGCACCAGGGCTGGTTGAGTAGGGGAAAGGGAGAATGGCTGTTCAAACCTGTTGAAAAACCTGTTCAGGTCATTCCTGGTCCCGATCGAGCACAGGTCTGGAGTTACTGTGTCCGGAGATTGTTTTCAGACTCCTCCAGACACCACTAACATCCTTCTGCTGTAGCTGTTCCTCCATCCTCCTCCTATAGCTGCCCTTCCCCTCTCTAATCTTCCTCCTCAGTTCTTTCTGCACAGCTTTCATCTGCTCCCTGTCCCCCAGCTTAAAAAACCTCCTCTTTTCCTTGAGGAGGGTCTTAATGTCTGGAGTGATCCATGGTTTGTGGTTGGCAAACATTCTTATTGTCTTGGTGGGTATGGTGGAGTCAACACAGAAATTGATGTAGTCTGTGATGCAGCTGGTCAGACTGTCGATGTCCTCCCCGTGGTCCTCACAAACACATCCCACACTGTGGTGTCGAAGCAGTCTTTCAGTGTCTCCACCGACTCCTCAGACCAGATCTTCTTTGTGTGGGTGGATGCTGGTTGTCTGTGTACAAGAGGCTTGTACACGGGGAGAAGATGCATCAGGTCATGGTCAGATCTTCCCAGGGGTGGCAGGGGTGAGGATGTGTATGCCTCCTTAATGTTGGCATAAAACAAGTCCAGAGTTTTCAGGGACCACAAAGAGCTTGTCCTCAGGACAGTCCGGGGGAAGCTGGACACCGACAATGGGTGCTTTGACCTTGTCCTCAACTCCCCAAGAAAAGGCAGAAATAAAGCAGGATTTAGGGAGGACAGTTTTAGGAGCCTGATTGGAATTGTCCGGGTCATGTACACGTGAGAGAGAGTCAGGTTTGGTATTTTTAGAGCCAGGACGGAATGAGAGGACAAAATCAAATTGAGTGAGAAAAAAAGAGACCATCTGGCCTGTCTAGAATTCAATCTTTTGGCAGACTTGAGATATTCTAAATTCTTATGGTCAGTCCAGACCTGAAATGGCTGTTGAGCCCCCTCGAGCCAGTGCCTCCACTCCTCCAGAGCCACCTTAACCGCCAGCAGTTCTCTATCCCCAACATCATAATTTTGTTCAGCTTTGGTGAGTCTCTCTGACAAGAAAGCACAGGGGTGCATCTTGCCATTCGCAGGATTTATCTGTGACAGGACCGCCCCTGGAAAATACCAGGATGTCATCAAGGTAAACAAAAACAAACACATTGAGCATGTCCCATAAAACGTCATTGACAAGGTTCTGAAAGACAGCAGGGGTTAACCTGAAAGGCATGACCAGATATTAATAATGTCCAGTGGGGGTGTTGAATGCAGTCTTCCATTCATCCCCCTCTGTGATGCGTACCAGATGGTAAGCATTACGTGAGTCAAGTTTGGTGAAAATTTTGGCTCTGTCAAGGAGCTCAAAGGCTGTGGAGATGAGTGGTAGAGGGTATCTGTTCATAACTGTTACGTCACTGAGCCCCCGATAGTCTATGACGGGGCGGAGGGACTTATCTTTCTTATCCATAAAGAAAAATCCTGCTCCTGCAGGTGAAGAAGAAGGACGGATAATCCCTGCAGCGAGTGAGTCCTGAATGTACTCCTCCATGGTTTGACGGATGAATGAAAGAGAGAACAGCCTACCCCTAGGCGGAGTAGCTCCTGATAACAAGTCAATACAACAATCATAAGGGCAGTGAGGGGGCAATGATTGGGCTTTTATTTTGCTGAAAACAAAGCTAAGTCACGGTAACAGGTGGGTACTCCAGAAAGGTCAGGGTTATATGAGCTGAGGCTGACTGTGGAGGAAAACATGACTGATAACAATCCTGGTCCCATGACAGAACTTGCCCTTTAACCCAGTCAAAATTAGGATTATGTTTGATTAGCCAGGGGTGCCCAAGGATAGCCAGAGGGGACATAGCTGAAAAAAAACAAAACATGAAAACTAATATTCTCCGAATGTTTACCTGGAAATGTGATTTTTACGGATTGAGTGTGGTGAGTGATCTGGCCCAGAGGGCTGCCATCGACTGCATTCACATCAAGGGGGTGCTGTAAGAGGAGCTGGCACAGGCCTACACTCCTGACAAGAGAGAGGTTCATGAGGCTAGCATCAGAGCCTGAGTCTACAAACGTAGCCACCAACATGGATGCAGTGTCAGAGTGAAAACTGACTTTGACTTCAAAGTGAGCAGGGTTATGAATCATAGTGTTCTGACTCACCCTTATAGCAGTCTTGGAGCCATACTTAGCAGTCTTGCTGTGGCAAGCTGCAACCTGATATCCTAAAAGCCCACAGTAGAAACAACACCTGTCTATCTGCCGGCGCTCCTCACAGGGGAGACGGATGTTTTCCAGCTGCACGGACTCCTCCGCGACGTCGACTGGTGGGGAGACAGAGGCGAGAGGCAGCCAAAGTCTGTCTGGCTGGTCCGACGTAGAGGCGAAGCATGCATAGGGAGGTGTCCTCGGTCCTGATCTCGCTCCGTGAGCCTTTTGTCGATCTTGATGGCGAGGGTGATGAGCGAATCTAGGTCCTCCTGCAGGTCCGTGGAGATCAGATGATCCTCGATGTTTCCCGACAGCCCCTGAAAAAATGCTAACGCAGCAACATTCCATCCACTCTCTGCAGGTAGAGTGTGGAAGTCTGTGGCATAGTCTGCGACCTTACGTTTGCCTTGCCTTAGTTTGATGAGTGCTCGGGCAGCCTCTTAACCTGGTGAGGTGTGCTGAAAAATCTGTGAAAGTGCCCTGGTGAATGCCGAGAGCGAGGCACATGACGAGGTGTGGTGACTCCACTCAGCAGTAGCCCAGGCTTCAGCGCATCCAGACAGGTGAGAGATGATGAAAGCAGTCTTAGAAAGCTCAGTCAGGAAGGCTGCAGCTTGCAGTTCAACATGGAGTTCACATTGTATCACAATGGGCTTGGTATCACCTGAGTCTCCTGAGAATCTCTGAGGCTGAGATAGCTGTGAACATGATGCTGTAGCGACATCAGGCGGTGGAGCAGCAGCAGCTACGGTAGGTGGAGGATCAGGTCTCACAATTGAGGCAGCCGCAGCGGGAGCTGAGTTGTCAAGCCTCTCTAGAAGCATGTTAGCATGAGAGCTCAGACTTTGCATCATTGAGGCCAGGTTTCTCAGACTCGAACACAGGGCAGCAAGCTGCTGTTCTTGCTCAGCTTGTTTGCACTGTGACAGAAGCTTTTTGACAAAAGGAGTGTTATTTGTTATATTCTACCTCAAGAATGTTCAATAAAAAGGTGATTTTTTTCCTCTGTGATATTGAAATCGGTATTGAGTTTAAAATTTTAGTATCGTGACAACCCTAGCAGGGAGTGAACCTAAAACAGAGACAATAGGTTAGAGATTTCAAAATAGAACAGGAAAGACAAGACATGAAATGAAACTTGACGGACATGACAGGTTTGTTAAGAATCTGAACTTGTACTCAGCTGAGTCGCTCTTTGTTAGGTCTGAGATTCTCAAAGTGCAGCTATTCCAAAAAAACCGGTGTAGTCTGGATCTGTTGTCACATCCACAGGCGCTTAATCGTTCCCTTTAGTAAACCACAATCTTTTCTTGAGCCAGTCTGCTTCAACAAGTTAAATGGACAACAAGGAGCTTCAGTAACACAACAGTTAAAGTCCACTGCAACACAACATGTGAAGGAGTGTCTTCACATCGGCAGCACCTCAGATCATAATAAACTATATCACTGTCACAGGCTTCACACTTGTACTGACAAAATAGTGACACTCAGGACAAAAGGAACATGTAAGTTGTTCTTTATTTCTGGAAAAACACAATTGAAAAAATAAACAGAAAAACATTTTACAGCTAAAGTTGAAAGCGTTCTGCAGTGTGGCCTTCTGCAGCATTTAGAAAGAACTGAAGTGATGCTGCATCGACAGAGCTGCTGAAGAAGCTGCACTGAACAAAGTGTGATACATAAAACACTGGACATGGAGTGGAGTCTGAATGATCTGTTTGAAACACGTCTTTTCTGCTGAGACAGGTGAGATGTGATTTATTAAAATAATGACATTTATTTCATTAGGAAACATCTTCCTGCTGTCACAACTGAATCAAACCTCTTTTTGTTTTGGGCCTCTGAATGAGAATGTTCTAGAATAAGATGAAGAGCTCTTTCTTTTCATTTATAGAAAACCTCCCTTCACACATACAGTCTGACATTTAAACTCCTACAAGGCAACATTTTCTGCATGACATCCTGATTGTCATGGTGAGCAGACAACAGAACACTTCACACTGTCTCCCCACACTTAATACCACAGTTTAGTGACTGGACTGTACATGCCAGTTCATTATATGCAGTGAAAATAAGGTCGGAAACAAAAACATAGTTTTAGCATCAAGGGGGTTTGAAATCACTAATTTACTGTCAGATGTGTCTCAGTAGTTCTGTGACAGTAAAGACCTACAGAACGTCCCTTTAACACCATATTCAAACAGACGTGTGTCAGTGCTGGTTGTCACATCAATAAAACGATCAAACTAACTTGTTTCCATCCATTCTATTACTTGAACTGTTGAACATGGTGTAAATGGAGTTATTGAAATCAGTCTGTGGCTTTGAGGGTAAATACATTCACTTTTCCACAGTCTGTCCTGTGCTGCTTTTCTCTTTCCATCAGGTCGCTCTCAGCTCCGGTTCAACTGCATCTGAAGTAAATCACATGAGATTTGGGTGAAGTACTCGTCATGAATGAAATGTAAAGTGAAGAGCAGCTTCCACGTAGGAGCTCCAACCTGCTGGACTTCACACCAGGTCTTCCCGCTCCTCTGTGTCGTCTGTCTGTGCTGCAGTCAACGCTGAGACGTTCTCATAATCATGAGAGTCGACCTGATGAAGAGATGAAATGAGGAGATGACATGAGCTTTAGTCATGAAATATTACATGTATTACAAAACAAATTATTTTCCAGTCCATTATTAAACCCATTTATGATGATCACACTATAAGGTGAGTTTCATCAACAGGACCTCTCACCTCCATCATCTCTACAGCTTCATTCTGTTCAGTTTTTAAATTCTTCTTCTTCCTGAAACAACAACAAATAGAAAATGGAATTAAATGGAATCTATGACTTTCAAACTAACAGTCTGAAGAAGAAAGTAAAAGTGCAGTGACAGAATTATATGAGTTTACCTCATCCACAGAGTCAAGACAAGCAGAAGAATCAGCATCAGGACCACCAGAGTCAACGTGGTGATATTCACTACCTTTACTGATTTACCTACTAAAGGAAACAAACAGAGAGCCGCTGGTTTAAGCAGTAAGACTGGATTTATGAATTCATTTTTAAAGAGAGAGAAAGAGAGAGTTTTAGTACATG